GTGTGTGTGTGTGTATGTAGGTATGTATGTTTCTCTGTGCTTATGCATATATATTTATATTTAAAAATAAGTATCTTTTATATATTCTCCCTTTTAGTTTTTCGTCGTCCAGCGACATTTTGTCAATTCTTCAAACAGTTGATAAACTCCTTGCCAGAGGCATTTCGAGGACTAACTTTAGGTACAGTGAGCACTGCTATTGAATGTTGAATCGAATTAGTTGATTATTGATTATCGGAAAAGCGAGAAAAGCATTCATTCTTACGAGAAGAGCGGCATAAGTAGCGTTATGTACAAACTAAGCTAATGTTGCATGCAACTTAAACGAATTGACGAGCTGACACACACATGTGCCCTAATACCTAGACACGTGCTCCGACTCGTTTTACATACATGCACAGATGTGTGCATGTATATGTGTGCGCATATATATGTACTTATATGTATACATATAGAGATATATTGAAATGTGTAAGTGTTTGGCTATAGGCGCTGAAACAACATCAAGACTAATTAGAGAAAAATCTTTATCGAACTTGCAGCATCTCAAGGTGGCTTAGATGCCCTGGTGTAGGTGTATGGGTGTATGGGTGTCTGGGTGTGGCAGGTATTTGGAGGCGTGCATCGAACTACCTGCCTGCTGACCTGCTGGGCTGGGCAGACAGCAAGCCGAGTTCAATGATCGTTATTATTTGAGTGATTGACTCGACTCGACTCTGACTCGTTCAATTTGATTTGATTGTTACGCTTGCACTACTTGTTGCCTGCCAATCGCTTAAGTCTAACAATATATATATGTATATCCATTGTATTTCCATATGACAACATGTGTCATATCAGTCTCCGATATATATCTGTAGGTATATATATAATATAAAGTACACGTAGGTAAATTAGTTTTCGCTATTTGTTGTACATAGGTGTAAAGTTCTTAGGTACATGGTACATTTTAACTCTCGTATTCATTTTTTTTATTTATTTTTATTTTTTATTAATTTTTGTTTTTATGTTTGCTTTGTGAACAGACTCACAACTTGCTACGCTCTAATAAAACGTTAATAACACACTTTAAGGGTTCTTCTTCTTCTTCTAACTTGCTGCGCTATTTGTAGCATTACGATTATAATTATTAATTATTACGGGAAAGTACACAGATACCGATTTGTGATATGCCAAACAGAATTGCTAAATACTTTTGCATTCCATTAGGTGCCACAAATTTCAATTTTCAATTAATTTTTTATTTTCTTTTAATTATTACAACTTCTGTTCAACTCTCGTTTTTCTTTTTCTTTTATTTTAATTTTTATTTTTGCCGTCTGTCAACTCGTTTTCATTAGCTTTGTTATTCTCTTATTATGTATATATGTATGTATATATATTTGGCGTTTCGTTTCGGAATTGAAACAAACACCTGAGGCTACAAAATTACTGCAAGTGTTTTCCTTGCCATTTGCTGGTGTGCATGTGTATGTGTGTGTGTGTGTATGTGTGTGTGTGTGAAGGACCCGTTTCAAAAGTGCGAGAGATTTTGACTGAGAGAGTGGCATAGAGTCTCATACGTTAAGTTTACCTGGTGGGTTCTCAAGCGGTGGTTATTTCAATTGTGGTTTCTGTCTGGGCTGTCTGGTTATTGAGCAACAACAACGCAACATACGCTAACAATTCTCAATTCCAAACTCAAATGTAACTTGGAGGAGTATTCGGCACTCGGATACTGCCGAGAGGGCATTATGCACAAATGTTTTCCCTCTACATTATTAAAAAGAATTAGTTTGTCATTTTCTAATTACTATGGAATTACTTTTGAGTATTATTTTAAATGAGAGCTGTATGTGTTGTCGAATCAATAATGAATATAAATTATAAATATTTGCATAATGTTTGCAATTAATGAATAGATTCAGAGGTCTATCAATTGTCAAAAAGAAATTGATGCTGACTGCAAATTGCCTATGTGACACGAGCGAGAGAGAGGGAGAGAGAGGGAGACAGAGATTTGCCAATTGAAATTGCATTTTGATTGTCGTAATTAGTCAGACAGAGACAGAGACAGAGAGAGAGAGAGGGAGAGAGAGAGAGCAGTGGGAGCCAACACATATTTCAATTAAYGGCAGTTCGCCCACATGAAATTAGCTTTATTGGGCTGCAAATGAGACTGAGGCTGAGGCTGGCTTTGCTGAATGCAGATGGATGAGTGGTTGGGCTGGCTGACTGAGTGGTTGGGCTGGGTGTCTGCCTGGTTGAGTGGTTTATCAGCGCGAACAGCGTTGTCCATTAAGAGCGACATTCGCATTCGCATTCGCATTCGGCATTCGGCTTTGGCATTGGCATTGAGGCCTTGTCCCCATACAACTGGCACGCCGTGTGGGCCATGTGGGCCACGTGCAGCAGCCGACCATGAAATGCAACTGCGTATGTCTTACAATGAATTCAAGTGTGTTCGCTTCTATATATATGCATATAAATGTTTTTGTATATAGATGTCCTTGAACTGTTGCGTCCTTGGAGTCTGCTGTGTCGAGGCTGTGCACACTGCGAGCTCGTGTCACAGTTTTAAATCCCCTTAAACGACTCCAGTCGCCATTCAACGGGGCATGGAGCGGGCAATTAGTGCCACCAATCAGCAAACAGCAAACGGCAAACGGCGAACAGCAAACGGCAAGCAGCTTCAAATGTAAATCAACGTCTACTTGGAGTGCTCGGGCTTGGGAAGTGAACTGGAAGTGGAAGAGTTGCTGTCGCTAAAAATTGCCAAACTTCGCATGCAAATCAAACTGCGCGGAACAACTCGCGCGACATTTTGCTGTCCCGTTAATGGGAATTGCTAATTGCTGCAGTTGTTTTCATTGATATGGCAAACGTTGCAAATTGCTTCTACCCAGGTGGCTGGCCGACTGAGATGGGGTATGCTGACGAGTGGTGCATGTGGTGCATAGAGAGAGATCGCATATCGGCAACAATAACTGTCTTAGTCGGGGATACTTCCCATGCCCATTTGCTTTGTTTGAAAATATGTCCCTGATTTGAGTGAGGAATTCCACTGGATGGGTCTTCCCAATTGTGAATACCTAGAGTTGACTTACTAATTGCTTTCTTGGAATTTAGTTTCTCCTTAAATGCATGATTAATCAAATTAAAATTACTGAATGAGAGAATCTGTAGCAATAAGAGCGCTAGTTCGGGTACATCCTAGTCGAATACTGTTCTTTTTTATTTCCTTTGAGTTGTATGCTCAGTTGGATTCAATTTGCTGGGAAAGGGGGCAGAACTATTTGCCTATGAGACTCTCTCCCTCTCTCTATGCTGAGAGAAGAAATGTGAATTCGAGTCGACAGATCTCGATAGATATTTCTTAGGATTAGGCTACTCCAAGACAGATGCTGTCCTTGCTTATTTCTATTGAGTTGTTGTCTAATTTGGCTGGCAAAAAAGCGGAACTGTTGGATGGTATGTATTGATAGGACTTCCCAAATATGGATACAATAACCAGGATAACTAATGGCAGGTTTACTTTTAAAGCCAAAATTTGCTAACTAATTCACTGCCAATATAGATAACAATTGATGTGAATTGGTTACTGAATGGGTATTTAATAGTCGGGTCGTGTCGTTGGCAGGATTCATTGCTGCATTGCTTTGGCTGTTTTCCCTCTGGCTCTGTCCTTCGAATTCTGCTCTCACTCTACCTCTACCTCTCCCTGCCCTTCTGTCTTACTCTCCTTGGCTCCCTTTCTCCTTCTCTCTGTCCCTGTCTCTGTCTCTGCCTCTCTCTTTCTCTCTGCCTCTGTTTCTCKCTTCCTGCCGCAGTTTCATTTTCAACGTTTACGTGATGCGGCTGCCATTTTCATTTTCATTTTCATTTTGACAATTGCGGTTTGTTTGTTGATTTTCCTATGCGTTGTCGCAGCAAAACAAAAAAAAAAACAACAACAAAAATGGAATTTTTTGCACTTTGGTGACAGATACAAATGGACCGAATGAGAGCGAGCAGCTCTGGATGTGTTGTTATTTTGGAGGGGGGCTGGGCTTCTGTGTGTTCGTGTGCGTGTGTGTGTGTGTGTGTGTGTGTGTGGGAGGAGTCGATAAAAACGAATTATTAAACAGCCTGCGCTCATGCCAATTGTCCAGTTGCCCGTGAATTTGTTTCGCAGTGAATTTCGAGCGCTTGCGCCGCTTATGTCTGAACGGGCACGTTGCTGTCCGCCTCCTGGAGCACGGGTGCCGTCCAGACTCCGCTGCCGCTGCGCGTCTTGCGCTGCTGCACGATTCCGTCCATGATGTCCAGCTGCAAGTTGTGTATGCTGCCGCGATGATCGGTCAGCGGCGGGCCACCGATGCCGCCGATGCCGCTGCCACGACGACTTCCGCTGCAAGAGAGAGATAGAGAGAGAGAGAGAAAAAGAAACGTGAGTCAGTTATTTGAAATAGATCAACAGAAGAGGTGCGCAACAACAGAGCTATTTATACTGGGAAAGAATCCAAATTAATCGAAGAGCTAACTACTACGGCTTCATTTTAAGTTGGCTTTAACTTTTTATAAACTCTTATCGTCTTATAAATGTATAAATGAATATAAGTTCGAATTGCAGCCTAAGTGCCATGCAGTAAGTACTACCTAAGCTATTTACTCCTCTTTGAATTAGGGATGTTCGATAAACAACATTGTTCAATAACTATCAAGGATTAAAGCAAAAATATCGATATTGTTATGGGATGAATATTGTATCATCGATGTTCGATTTTTTATTATATCAGCTTCGATTTTATTCTAATATAAATGCGATTGTAGTTCTGAGTGAATTTCTGAACGAGGCATTCATTTACTGTGCACTGTCGTGTTTAAAAGTTAGATCTAGGTGGAATGGAAGCCATCTGCTAACATTTTCTGCTTTTCGGCTTTCCATTATTTTTCTAATTTTTAATTTTTGTTAGGT